TTAATGCTAGCTGCATGGTTCTGGGCAAGGCAGTGTTGGTGGGTTAATCTGGTCCAAACTGAAATATCTCAATAACTATTGGATGGATTGCCAAGAAATTTGGTACCGACGTGCATGGTCTCCAGAGGATGAATTGTGATCCTCGGAATATTCCTTTACTGACACCAGCTGGTTAACATTTGTGATTTTAAGTGAAACAACTACTGGGTGGATTGCCATAAAATTGCAAGTTATAACATTTAGCTCATTGTGCCTATATAGCCTCACAGAGCAGCTAGCACGGCTGTCGACTCTGTTTTGTAAAGAAATCAAATCTAAATCAAAAACTTTTATTTAGGAAAACGTGACCAACTTTACAAGAAGAAGAGGTTATGGTTTAGGGTTTAGATTACACCATGCCCTGTTGGAAAGGTCACCACATCCTCATATGTCAGCAATTAGGGTGTTGAGTTAAATGTTATCATAGCCAATAGAACTTGATCGGTAAAACACCGAAATAAGAGAAAGTCATTACATTTATTTTAAGAAGTTGCACTAAGATTTTGAACCCATGCTAAGAGTTGAAAAAAGTTTGTTGGATCATGTTGATGCTTAAATTGATGGTGGTTCCAATACATATATGATTAATTGGGGGCAACCATGTTTACACAAGGTTATGTCAGACAGCTTTTCAGCTGGCACATCCCATTACTCCTCTACACAGCCCTGCATCAGATAAGGGCCCGACAGTGACACAGTCCCCTCAGTAATTAGCAGCACAAGAAGAAGCCAAGGATCAATGTGTTTTCCATTGGAGGGATTCTGGCAAAGGAAGATCAATGAGGGAATCAGAGGGGATGGGAGGGCGAGAGTCACAAGTTTCAGATGCAATGAGACAAAAAAAAAAAAAAAAGAGGCTGCAAACACGATACAATGATTATTTGCACTTGCTAGATTGATTTCCTGTTACTGTGTTAACATACACTCCCACTCTGCACATAAAATAAGCATTACTGGTCCAACAAGCAGCGGTGTCAGTGCCGTGTTCCTCCGAAACCACAAGCCTGCAAGCAGTTCGCTCTCAGTGAGATTATCTATTTGAAATGTATGAGGAGGGAGCGCTGGTTTGAAATTCACTGTCCAAGGCTGCAGTACAACAGTTGCCCGTTGCATTGTAGCAATCTATGAATACGGAGTGCTGGGAGAAGTTCTTAGCTCAATGATTTAGACTGTAAATCTGCAAGGTTATCTTAAGTCTCTGTGAGCCCTGAAAGTCAGAAAGTGCAAGTGCCTCCATTCTGTCCCTGCTGATGTAATGATAAAACCACTGAGGCGTTTCATTATTGCCACGCCACTCGGTGCTTTAATGTCATTGACACTCCACATCCTTTACAGTATCCATCTCCCGGCCTCTCGAACGCCGACGCTCCCTCTGTCCTCTTGCTGTGTGGTGTTTGCTATTGGTCATGAGTAAATAAATGTTTTTTTCTAGGTTAGACACTTTCAATTGATTTGCTTGCTCAAACAATTTGCTCTTGCTGAGCACTGACTAAATGAGTGTCGACATTGATCTACTGACACGACATGTCATCTCAGATCTACTTGATTTTCTTTCCCCCAACGCTCGCCTGATAGGCGGAAGTTCTCAGGGATGAACTTTAGAGCGGTGTGTTGCTTTCAGGTTTTGTGTTCTTCAGGATAACTTTGAACTTTCATCTTTTATAACTGTTGTCACAAGATGATAGCACCATTCTTTGAGTCAGCCATCAGAAGATCTCCAAAGAGAACGATATTAGTTTTTCTGCCTACCTTAATACGGGTCTCCTTTTCATAACTGATCTTCAAACCACTGAGCATTACTTGACAAAATGTGTACTTTAAAGTTTGAAATGCAAGTCTGCCTAATTTGTCTGATTAATTCTGCCATCTCTGATTTAAAGAAATGGAGCACAATTAGGCATAACTGTGAAGTAATCATCTTGAAAAGGAGGACTTGATTTTACTTTTGTTATGGCTCCGTCAATACTACAATGGAGTTTGTGCTTCTATGATACAACACCTATAAACAAAAACTGACAGATTTACTGATGCATGAAAGGTTTAAACAAAAGTTGAAATGGAAAAAATCAAAACAACCCCTTTGAAGAAATTAGAATAACTGAGGGAGTGGAGGAAAGTCGTATGTGTGATAAAGTATCCATCTGTTCCTTCAGTAGAACGGGTAATAAAAGGCTTTAAGTCTGGACTGTGGAGAAAACTACATCAGCAAGAAGAATTATCATTGATCTAGAGGTTTAAAAACGGCTTACAGCTAGGAGGAGGAGAAGCAAGATTGCCATTAAGGGGCGATTTTACAAGACAACGGTGAGGGACATGTTTCCACATTATATCAAGACAGGTGGAGGACTCTGAAGGAATTTACAGATTGACATTCTGTAGTTTAAGTGAATATAAAATACAGGGATTTATTATCGACACCCAAGTCTCAGCGTCTATCGTTTTAGCAGCTTGAATTAAGATTTATTCTATAAAAACATAGAAAGGACTGATGCGGAAGATAAAAACACAAGGATTTACAAGTGGAGGCCAATGGGAAGCATGGACAAATGTATAGATAGTATAAAAGGTTAATATATCGTACATATAGTACGTATTACTACTTGGACAAGATGATCATCCCCATTTTTATCAATGGAAAGTGTAAAGAATACAAGCCATTTTCTTATTCTGTTGTCGCTTTGTAAGAGAAATGCAACTACTCAACATGGAGTAGTAGTCAACTGGGCTCGGCTTAATAAATACAGTGAGTTAATGAGTTGCATTCCCTTTTCATGCCCATTTATTATTGCCTTATTTAGCCAGATTGAAGCATTTCAATCTGCAATGCATCAAATAGTTACTGGCTAATTCAGTCATCAACTGACACAAGAAACTCATAAAAGATTGTCCTTTAGCTACTGTATATGTTTATGGCTTTCGGCTGTGCAATAATACAGTACATCTGATCAAAAGATCCAAAGACAAAAGTATGGGTTAAGGTTAAGATGGCAAATGACCAGCTTAAATCTATTTTCACAAAAGATAAGGGATTAGACTGATTTAACGAAACCATTGTCAAATAGCCACTTCAAGTATTGTTCTTCAACCACTCCACCATCTCTTGATGATTCTGATGCTGCACTGATTGAGAGTAAAAGTACATGAGACACAAAGCACAGCAGAGTGCGACTTTTAGCTCTACTTAAGCCAGAGAATGAGATGAGATTACCATCAACTGTCCTTCAACAGCCCACAGGGGGTCAGTTCTCTGACATCCTGTTCATTATGAGCTGCGCCGTTATGATTGTCAGACGCTTTGATTGTGCCCCCCCCCCCCCCAGACACATCAGAGTAGATTCACAGGGTGTTTCACTCTTTCCACAGAGTAAGACTGGACATCGTAGTGAATACTGAGCGATAATGAATCCAAAGAGGCAGCTCAGGTATTGCAGAAATACTTTGATTGTTTGGACTCAGAGCTTGACCTGATCACCTGATCACCAGGTGGCGCTAAAATGCTGTGGATCACAATGGCAGGCTGCGTTTACATTAGTGAGGCTCATCCGAGGAAACGCATTCTCTTCAACCAAGGTCAACTGCCAACATCATTAATTATCACTTTATTATCTTTACCAGCAGGCCTCGATAAAGCTCAGATGATGCGAGATGCATCTCAACAGTGACTGTGAATTGGAATCGATGTGGAAAAAGAAAACCGGTAACCTATCCGATCTCAGACAGCCTTTGTCCTGTATTTCACCATCGGCTCTTGAACGTATTAATGTCAACCCCACTTCAAAAGGTTCCTTTGATGCCTATCATCAGCCTTGACTCATTGGTCGCGAGCTACTCCGAGGATGTACCCATGAAAGAAATAAAAGAAATCCAATAACCGAGCACTTCACCCCGAATAGAAAATAAGTGACAAGGGCTACTTCAAGCCTTAGTGAATTAGGACAACTTTATTATTGCAAAGGTAAATTATGTTTGTCTTACCCTGAAGCTAAAGAAACACACTATGGCAAAAGGATATGTACAAAAATAAATGCACAAAACACCCCAAAACAGTAGTGCAAATAAACACAGAAGGAATAGCTCATCAATTAAAAATGTACACTAAAGCCCGTTTCTGCCTGTTGCCCGTAGAGGACTTGGATGGACAGGAGAATAAATGTACATTTCTATCCATTCATTGAACGCTTAGCGATTGTTGTGTCCGCCTGAGGGGAGAGCTTCAAATTCAGGATGAATACGGTACATGAGGGAGATCTAAAATGAACTCTCAACAAAAACTGAACCAAGCAGAAGGACGATGCCTCACAAGCGCGACCTCAACTGCCTCTTGACTGTTCGTTGTATAGACTATTAAGACATAGATGGATGGATGGATGGATCTATCTATCCATCCATCCAGAGAGAGAATGATTATATGAAAAGCAATGTTATGCAGTTTGTTATGCTGTGTTATACGAAATAGGATACATGATGTGAGAGCTGAATCAACAATATTATACATTATGTATATCATGAGCCAGAATTTTGAATTGGAATGTGTGTAAATTAACTCCTCTATGCAAAAACATAATTAGAGTATATCAGGGATGCAGCAGTCGATTATTTTTGTTAAAGACTTTTCTGCCGATTATTCTTTTCAACAATTCAATGAGTGTAAAATGTCTTAGCGATAAAGGTGATGTCAAATTGCTTGTTTTATCTGACCAATGGTTCCAAAACCACATTTATGTAATTTACAATGCGTTAGAATAATTGTTGTTGGTCAATTTTCTGTCAATGGATTCATTGTTTTAACACTGAAATATTCCACCAGAACACCATCAAAACACAGGATCCTTTTGAGCTGCACATAAGGCTAACACAACATTTATTAATGACTGCTCAATAGTATTTATCCTTGTATACACTATCATTTCCAGGCAACTTCTAGGTTGTACGATTGTCTTGGTGTTACCACAATCACTCACCTATGAAGTTGAGGTAGCCTTCTCCGCCCAGACTATGAGTGAGGAGGCGGATCATCTTATGCAGCTGCATGCCGCGGTCGATGACGGCTGTCATGGGAATCAGGGAGCTCATGTTGGTGTACATCTCCTTGTCCATCAACCAGAAGGCCAGGCTCTTATCCCCAACCAGAGCCTGGAACGGTGGGTCATGTTTTATGACCCACAGCATGATAATCCAGACACTTTTGAGTGGGATCTTGTAGAGAATAGCTTACCTGATCATGACTCTCTGCATAGGCTATGCATTTCTCTCCATAGCGCCTGTTGGTCAGTGTGTGGATGATATTGCCCATGTCCCAGTCCTCATCCTTTAACTCCTTCAGGATCTACAGGGTGACAGAGAGGGGTTATTGAAAAGGGAAGTGATAGATGTGTAGCTGAGAGATCCATTCGGGCTCTGACTGATGTCTAAAGCTCAGTATTTCAGTTCTGGCAGTCTTTCTACCTTTCTTAAGGTTCTCTGAGTTACCCTTCTTTCTCAGATCAATCTCTGTTTTGACATCTCTATATCTGCACTGTGAGTTATGTCTACCTTTGAATGGCGGTAATGGAGTTTTTAATAACTTCACTACAGCCCATGGGTAGTAAGGCATCAGCCCTTCCCACCTGAGATGGGCAAGGTCAGAGCCTCTCATCCAAACGGAGGGATTCAACAATAAATCCAACCAGGGAATCAATGCCCTGCCACTGGCCTGCCTACATGCACAGGTCCTGCTGGTCATTTCCAGGAGGTGGAGGAGCTAACGAGAGCACAGGGGCAGAGTGAAGATAATCACAGACAGTAGTGGGCAACGTGGATGATTTAATAAACAAGAGATGTTAGAAAGCCATAGTATCTATATCACTCCTAAATGGGGGAAAAAAAAAAAGAGTTTATGCCCTCCAAGAACTCTTGGTGACTTGGTGATAGACATGCAGCCTGTCTGATGCTGGGGGAGTTGGAGAGCCCATCTCAGTGACAGGCTGAAGTCTGCTGGGTGGAATTTGCTGTGACAGCTGATTGACATGTCAGGAAACCTTTATATTACTCTACAGAGCCATAATCCTCAGAGTAAAGAAGGTAATTGTGTCGATCAATATGTCTGAGATGAACTGGCTGGTCCACCTAAATAGAGGCTCTCCCGCTCTATATATCACCATCTGTTGACATTCACTCTTCCCAACCTTAGCCTTGTGTGGCCGTATTAGTCATTCCCACTGCCACTAGAAAACGTCGGTGAGGCACTTCTCATCTGCATGCGCTACAAAATTCTCAGACCTTTTAACTCCCTTTGAGCTCAGTGCGCTGCCTCAGATCCTTGAGCCAAGCCACGCTGGCTGTTCTTTGGGTTTAGCTCAACACGGCCCCTGATGCAGAGGACCTCATACCTCGGAACAAACATCACTGTCATTTCAACGATTACATTTTAAATCACAAGTAGGTTTTGGCATAGACTGTATTTACTCGCCCCAGCTGCCAGGTTTGCTCTAATGTCCACCGGTCAATGTCCGGTTTTTGTTAAAGTTGATTAAAGTGTATTTATACGACCATTTAATGTTAGAGGAAAATGAGAGGTATGAAGCCAAGTTTTCAGGCACTTTAAGATGTAATGGTAAAATACATTTCAATAAATAAATGGATAAGTAAGGAAGTAAGAAAAAAGGAATAAAATATAAATGTAAATGGTCAAAAAAAAAGGTTATTTTAATTCAACTTTAAAAAAAACATTCATTCATTTGACAAAGCAGATGCTTCTATAGTACAAGCTCTATATTCAGTGGTACTGCATATTGGTACCGAGAAAGTCTTTGTATACCTAGCGGGATACGAGTGAAGGCTGGAAAATCGATTTGGGGAAAAAAAAAAAAAAAAAAAAAAAAAAAAAAATAGAAAAAACATCGGGGAGATTATTAGGTACATACATATCACCACATGTGTGAAAAATGTTATGACTATGCATATCTAATATATTACATTTCCTAATAATCAAGGCAGATGGGTCACAGTTATCAGGCGTCTGTTCTCAAGACACTTCTAAATGACAGTGTCTTGTTAAGGTTGATAAGGTTAGTAGCATCATGGAGAATATTACAGTACAATAGTTAATGTACGGATAAATTGAATAGTGATAAAGTTTAAAAATGAATTTCCCTCCTGCAGCTAAACTAAGAATGCCACACCAGCTGAAAATAAATCAATCCTCCAAATACTGCCCTCTTTTTTTTTTTTCCTCTCACCAGCTCCAATATAAAAGCCAAACAACTGAATCTGCAGAATATACCCCAGAGATCATCCCGTCCGCCTCCCCATCCACGTACACTCAGACACTTTACACTTCCTTATGAATCATTACAATTCAGTTCGACCGCAAAAGTGGTCTGGGAGCAATTAATCCGGGAGTGGGGCTGTCGGAGCGGAGACAAGAGTGACTGGGTTGACGACTTCCCTACCACCAGCTCACCCACATCAGCCCCGACCAGCCGAGCTTCCTGGCACCACTGACACTCCACTTCATCAAAGATAATGAGCAGTGCACAAATCTTACTTTACAAGCCTGCTGTCAGGAGCCAACCAGAGTGCCCAGATTAATTAGGCAGAGCCAGAAATAAAATAAGAAAAAAAATCCAGCGGTGCAGGATGAGGTCATCTCACTGCCACTGGCGTACTGTGACTGATTCCAGAGCCTCTCTCCTACCATCCCATCATGCTGGGAAGGACCCGGAGCTAGAGATGTGTTTAGTGTAAAGCTCTTGTTTTACATTTGGTGGCTGGCCCGAGCATCCTTCCTCTCCTGTCTTTACTGGCACAGTGTTGCTATGGGGACATCCTCTCTTCTCACATACAGTGCCGCCCCCAGAGATGAGCGGGAAACGAAGGTGTGCAACACTCAATCCCAAAAATCAAGTTAATGCATCCCTATTTTTATACTTTCACAGTTTTTGTTGAAATTAATGAACATTCTGCCCACACAAATGTTTCCAGCTCGACTTAGCTGAAAGGCACTCCTTAGCGAGCCTCGGTTTGCTAAAAGGAGTCACCGTCTAAATCTCACACCACCAGTAACGCCATACAAGGGAGGCCTGAGAGTGCAATTAGCTAAAATAAAATAATGTAGAATGAAGCTGAAATGCGAACGTTAAAGGATACGAGAGGAGGGCATCACCGGTCAGAGATGAAGCCGCTGACATGTTTACACAAACAAGCTAGAGTCCATCATCGCTCGCTGGCAGTCTGAATGTTATTAAGGCATGTTAATTGAAAGTGTTTCCAGTGTGATGGACATAGCAAAGTATGTTGACCAGAAATGGATTTCCCCCTTGAACTAATAAGGAGAGAGCTGTGCAGACTGATATTTTATTCAATTAAAAATAAATCGATGAACAGAAACTAAAATCGGGACAATTGACTCGGAGGTCATTCAAGTTGTGGAGCGGAGAGAAGCCGGAGAAAAGTCTCTGCATCGCCTTCTCTTCTCCTTGCCGCGACCGGCGAGCCCCCTACCTACCTCCGCCTTTAATTGTTTCAATTACATCTCAATCTATTGTAGCTGGAGGGAAGGGTGCTTGTTAAATCAGAGGGCTTTTGTAACATTATCCATTAGGAGTGACAGCATTTTATGGTCATAATCAGATCGAATCATCCAAACTTGTGCTGTGCGCCTTATCTGGTCCTCATTAGGATATCTTAATTTTTCACAGCCTGTTGGTCCTAACAGCCTTCTGCAGCCAGTAAATGAGTCATATCATTCAGTCATGCTGGGGACGAAACACAGCATGAGGGCCCGCTGGAGGAACCGGGAGAGAATCACTGGTGCACACGTTAATCTATAAATAAGCCATGCTGCTCTGTCCGTCCATCCTTCCGTCCGTCATTCCGTCCATTTCCGTCCTTCCTTCCTTCCGTCATTCCGTCCGCCCGTCCTTCCTTCCGTCATTCCGTCCGCCC